TGGACCAAAGTTCAGAGCTGGTATCAGGGAAGGTTCCTGATATTCGTATATATATATATATATATATATATATATATATATGTATATAAATAAACTTAACTATCTAATTGGGAATAAGGTCACTTATTAATAATTTAATAAACTATTGAATGTTCATTTCTTCTGTTTATTGATGTTTCGATCCTGGTATTTTCTTTTTATTAGTCAACCATGGGATCCTCTTCAAAGCTAGAACCACAAATAGCTCAATCGGTACACAATATTACTTTCATATGACTTTAATAACAATTATATCAAATTTTTTAACCTACTTTCAAAAAATAGAGCTTCGATCAGGCCAGGGACACACCGACAGTCTCAGCACCGTCCACGAGCACATATTTTAAGCTACTCTACTACGGCTCTATTTTTTATAATTCTAGCTTTGAAGAGGATCCCATCGTTGACTAATAAAAAGAAAATACAGGGATCGAAACGTCAATAAACAGAAGAAATGAACATTCAGTAGTTTATTAAATAATTAATAAGTGACCTTATTCCCAATTAAATTAGTTAAGTTTAAATTTATTACTCAAAGGTCGATTAAGGAAAACTTTTGTTTCTTTCAAGATTTTTTTTTCCTATGCCATAGTCATTGGTCATTCGACCATCCGACATCTTGCTGCTCGATATAAGTTTGATTTTTTTATATAATCATTTACCGTCATATGATCAAATATATTAAAATCATATGTCCGATTTTAACGATATTTTTTTTTTTTTTTTTTTTTAGGAAATTTCGTAAACTTTTTAAAAAACTATATACAATATCAACAAAAAAGTGTATACTTTTTGAGTTATTTGGAATTTAATTTTAACATCCCTCGTAACTTTTTTTCCAGCTTCTTTTCGTTGAAGTATGTTATATAGATAAACTTAAAGGGTGGCGAGAAAATGACTTTAGCGAAGTTTCATTGAAATCGGTACATTCGTTTAGGTGCTACAGTCTGTAGGAACACAGGTTTTTCTGCATTTTTATTTTTTTCTCCTTTATTAATTTATCAAATTCTTTCAAAAGTTATATTTAGCATTTTTTCTTAACTCTGAATAATGCGAAATGGTTAGCTTTTTAAAATAAACCATATTAAAGGTACTTTAGAGGAAGACATATATGAACATTGGGCATTTAAGCCCTGTAAAGTGTAGCCCTGTAAGCTCAACGGGGATAAGACCTAAATGATATTAAAGACCACTTAATTATACAATGATGCACCGAGTTTGATCAAAATCGTTAGAATTGTTTTTTGAGAAAATTATAAAAATGTGTTTCTGCGTTCCGGTTAGCGGCATAAAGTGGCACTTCCGGTTAGCCGATTTTAACGAAAAAGTTGCTGTCACATCCGGCCCATATACAAACTTTAAATACTTAATATCAGTTTCTTAATACTTTTTGTTTATGATCTAGACTGTTAAAACACACACACAGACCATTTTGCGACACTTGGTTATTTGGACTCAGGGGACCTCAAAACATGTATTTCCGTTGAAAACTGAGATTCGAATATTTTCACGATCGCAATACTTACCCTTACTATATATTACATATATACGTAAGTGAAAGTAAAAATTCATTACGTCATGTAGCGAGTCCTGCAAGAACTATACTTCAATATGACAAGATAAGAACCAATTATTGTTGAGAAAGAAAACCCCCGATATTATAAGGTCATCTAATACGTAATGTCGGATTGCGTGATATAAGGAATAGGACAAAATCAATGAAACTCGCTCAATCTATAATGCATTTACCGTCTTGTTCATTCTGAGAATATATTTTAATTCTGAATTAAAGAAAGCCAACAACTCGTTTTTCAACTCATCTACTAAATTCATGTTCTGTCGCTTAATGAGTTTTGGAAACTGTGGAAAAAATGATTATCCGAAGGCGCCAAGTCGGGAGGATATGGTGGTTGATGTTTATTTTGCGATATGGGACCTCTCGTTGTCGTTGAGTTAACGAATCGAAGTTAATGAAGACTTTATGAGTAAAATTTTTATTCATAATGTCTGTTACAAATGGCATCTTAAAATGCAGAGTGATACCATGAATGTATGGGTTGACTACAAGAGTTCACTTCAAGTCTCCTACAAGAGTTTGACTTCAAGAATGATTAGTCCAGAGGATCATGGGATTTATATACCCAACAATAGCAAAGGGGTGAAGGGAAGTCGAAAGAGGAGGGCGAAGGAAGCGTGAGAGAGAAGTTATTAACTATAAAGAATTGGTATCCTTATCTTTTAGAATTGATATGCAGTCTGTGAGACATAGTACCTTTCCTAAAATCTGTTGTTGTTCCCTAAGTCTTGATAATGGGTCTTCTGTCCAGTCGGTACATTCTAGATAACTATTTCTAAGCTATCAGAGATAGCTTGACCTGGCTATCTAGGGATAGCTTTGTGCTTTTATCCTTTGAATTATGAGAATTGTCAATACAATTCATGATTCACCAATTGGGTACTAGTTCACAAGAGTTCCGTACAGATTAAGCAGGGTTCACAATCACTCGGTCACACTTGTTCCTGGAATCCCGAATGCGTTCGGGTTTATCCGAAAGAGAACGAAGGCGACCGATCTCTTGGGCCAGTTACTATTAACTTCCTCGCCATTTAAGTACTTCTATAACCTTAAACATGTTCAGTTATATAGCAGGAGTCGACTTACATTCGAAATTTAGGCTACACATCACGAAACCTAAATTGAACTTGTACATATATTATAGATCTGTAAAAAAGAAATAGTACTAGATAAAAATCTATAATTATTACATCTCTGAATGCTATTTCACAATATTATTTTTTTTATTGATGATTTTCATTATTCATTTCAATTTTTATCAATTTCATTATTTCTTGGAATTATCAGTATATTCATAAATCTTAAATCAGACATTGTTTTCAGAAAAAGCGTCCTTGACAACTTAATAGTGGACTCTTATATCTTAGAAATCCATAAATCTACAAAAAATCAAAGAGCAATTTTAAATCCGACAGTATATACATAAAAACCTCCGACGACTAGAAAATAGCGGATCCGTATATCTAAGAATTCAAAAAAGTTACATAAACTTAATGCTTAATCTCAAATCAGATAGTAAATGCATATAAACCCTCCCCCCCCCTTCCCACTGGAAAATAGTGGACGCTCGTATTATTAGAAATCCAAAAAAATACATAAACTAGATAGATGACAAACTAAAAAAGGCTTGCTAAAATAAATTGTAAATGCAATTATTCCAACTTCTATTGAAAAACTCGAATAAAAAATAAAAAGATAACTTAAAATTATTTATTATCCAAATGATAAAAAAATCTTTTATACACAGTTATAAAAGATAATATACAGTATATGCGTATTTACAGCCACTACATGTAAGCACTTGTCAATAAAAATGTTATTTCTAAAAGCACTTTTTTTTAACAGGCTTTAAAGAAACGACTCAAACATTATTTTATGTATTATTTCTTTTTCTTTCACAGTGATAACCGTTATAATAAAAATTAATAATTAACTAATTAGTAAATACACAATTCGTTAATAAATTGTTAATAAGAAAGTTTCATGAAGAGAATACTTTTTTTTTCTTCAAAAATGCGTGAAAAGGAGCAATAGCTGACGTCATAAAAGACGACGACATTCGGCTGTTTTCGGCAATCCACGAACAAGTGTGATCGAAGTGATTGTGAACCACGCGTAATCCGTGCGGAACTGTTTTGAACTAGTACCACCAATTGACATATTTAACAAACTAAATTATTAAAATAAAATAAAATTAATATTATTATTATTATTACTTCTTACGGATTAACTCCATTCCGTAACTGTTGTTTATCATTTCAGTGTTCGCTCTTAAGACGTTTTCTCCATATATTGCTGCAGGCTTAATTTTAATGATAAAACTAATATATCCATTTTAATTGATATTTCAGCATAGAATAACTAACAAAAACATGATAAATAGTTGAGTATATTAACTGACAATTCATTTGTAAAGTAGGGATTAAACCGGCATTACTACTAGGATGACTTGATATATTGATATATGTCACTAAGGCAAATCATATAACTATTAGGATAATTGTTTATTATTATACAATAGTATTATTTTTTTCATATAACAATAAACATTTTTTTTATTTTATTTTTTTATTATTTTAATGGAATTTACAACTGTATTACATAGTGAATACAACAAGTAAATGAGAAGTTGGTAACATGGCATGTATAACATGAAGAGAAACCCATTGGTAGAACTCAAATTAAAGTTCTATGTTAGGAGGTCCCGAGGCCATCTTCTTTTCAGACGCCTCGGAGGGTTATCAGGGATCGAGGAGGAAGCAAGATTTGAAACGAGAGGATTCGGATGGTTCTGCAGTTTATTATGGAAGGACAGGTATCTGCATTGGGCCAAATCGGAAACATATGAAACATTAAGGTCTTTATGGATGATTTTATTTGTGACAAAGTAAGGAGCGTTGAGGATTTTACGAAGGATTTTGGATTGTAAGGATTGGATACGAGAGGAATTCGATGGTTTAGTGGAGCCCCAAAGCTCCATTCCGTAAGTCCAAATAGGTCTTATTATTGTCATATATACGAGTCGTTTATAATTGATTGAAAGCTTAGATTGTTTGTCTAGTAAGTGCTGCAGTAGTCAAAAACGTCGGGCGGTTTCTTGTCGTTTCAGTCTGGTATGGGGGTTCGAAGTGAGTCGTTTGTCAAGGTGGAGTCCTAAGTAGCGGATTTGCTCAACAGGGATAAGTGGAGTATTATTGAAGGATACTGTAGGACAAGAGGTCATAGGTTTACAACAATAAAATAAAATGTAAATTCGAAAAAAATAAAATATAAGTGAGGTTATAAAATATAAGTATAAAATGTCGAGTTGAACGTTATAATTTATTATTATGTCATACAGTGCAAAAATGTTCTATATATCAATAAACTGTTAAACTTTTCCAATTTAATTCAAAAACTGGTACATCACAGTGAAGAAGGAGAAAGCCTGTCTGATAAACTGCAACAAAAATAATTTATTATTTATGTATGTTTTACTACATAATATATGCCATTTTAGAAGAAAGGAGGAATTGGTGTTAGTAAAATATCAGTAAAAAGCATAATGATTCATTAATATAATAAAAGAATTAATTATTACTAATATGGCTTTAGTTTGCAACAATGCCCAGGGGTGCCTATCCTCTGTCCCCCCATGGTCGATGGCACAAATACTTCCTACCTCCCAAGATGTTTTATTACTCTCTCTTCTTAAAAACAGTGCAAGCTAAAATAGAATTTAAAAAATCATAACCCATATACTATTGCATTTTTAGTGTTCTGCTCTCCGCTTTTCTCTTATCCCCTTTTCTTCCGAACATTCCATAGTCCTATCTAAATGTGCCCCCTCAAAAATTTTGATGGCGCACTAAATCGTCATTCGATATTTGGGAATTTAATAAGGTTTTTTTTTTTTTTTATTTGCTGTTATTTAACGTCGCATCGACTGCCAAGGTCATTAGCGACGATCGTTCTTCTTAAATATAACTTATCAATTTTATTTTTCGGATGTACTTCAGCGTTTTTTCAATACCAGTGTTTTCCTTGTACGGTGCCTTGTCTTCAATTTGGAGTTCGATTTGCTGTTTCCGGAACTTTTTGCACTGGAATATGTGTTCAACTGTCAGATTAGCATTTTCACATACCTCACATGTTGGTCGATGTAAGCCAAGAAGTAGGTGGAGATGGGTCAGTTTGGTATGTCCAATCCTGAGCCTGCTTATTATAGAGCATTCTTTTGATGTCAGGTGTTTTGGAGGATACCAAGCTCGATTTTCGTCTTTGGTCAGATGAAGGTGATTGCGCGGCAGTAATCTCCACTGTGCATTCCAATTGTTCACTTTCTTTGAAATTTCTTTTCTCCATTCGTTGAGAAACATCGATCCTAAAACAGGTGAATCTGTGCTTCTGGCGGCTTCCTTTGCTCCTTCATCGGCTCGTTCATTGCCGATTATGCCAATGTGTGAGGGTACCCAAAACAATATTATTTTTTGACTATTTTTATTTAGTTTCAAGTTCATTAGCTGAATTTATTTGTGCAATGTGTTACATATCCATGCATTTTGCAGTCAATTGATTACAGATAAGGAAGGTTTATATATACATATATCAAAATAACTTACGGTCTCATAAGTCTGGAGTGATAGCTCGAACACATAAGCCCCCCGTAGAGTAATAGGTTTCGCCGTGTAAGTGGCCATTATTAATAACGAACTCCTTAGCTTAGGGTCGGCATTGTACCACTGGTTATTGTAGAGTGAGAAGTGGATCTGTTCGCACTGCAGAAAAAAACAACAAATTTGTTTAACAAATAAGTTACTAGTATATTATTGTTATTAGTATAAATAAATCTTAAGAATATTACTATAAATATAAATCAACGATAATTAATATAAAATTATAAACTGTTATTTTGCCTGCATTTTATTTTGTGTGCTAAACTCAAAATAAATGTTAATAAAACATTATTGTTGAATAATATTCAAGTTTTAATTTTAAAAAACCAATCTGGTGCGCGCAACACACAACTTTCACTTACCGATCTACTATGAATAGAAATTACTTTCTGGTAATGCTGGGCTGTTTTAAATTTTTTTGAAGTGCATTTTAAACGGAGCTAAAGCTTAAAGCTTACAGATAACAAGTCATTAAGACCATTATAATTACAAAATGTCTATTTAATGTATCGACGACAGGCAATAAAAATCAAGTCACTCCATCTGTTTTTATAAACCACAGAATGACTAACTCCAATTTCAACATTTTTGAGTGATGTCATTTTAGTGATAATTTTAGTTGAAAAAGTTATCTATGTAGACAATGAGTAAGTTGATTCCAGAGGTGGTGATTGCAACTTGTACACAACTTTCTTTGCTTTTATGAACCTCAGAATGACTAACTCTGAAATTTCAACATTTTTGAGTGATGTCATTTTAGTGATATTTTTAGTTGAAAAACTTATGAAGAATATGGGCAAGTTGATTCCGGAGGTGGTGATTGCAGTGTTGAAATATAAAACTGAGTATAAAGGTATAAATTTAGGTACTTATTTCTTATGAAAAATGTTCTTAGGAAAGATACTTCATTAAATATCTATAGAAAAAAGGTTTTTATAGTCTCAACAATTAAAAAAATATATTTTAAATTTATCCAAATTTTCGCCTCTTCAGGGAAAAAAACTATAGACCATATCTTTCATCCTAGTTGTCCGATCTTAACGATTTTTTTTTTTTTTTTTTTAGGAAATTCCATAAACTTTTAAAAAACCAATTTAAATACCTTTGAAACATCTTATCACAATATCCGCAAAAAAGCTTATACTTTTTGAGTTATTCGGAATTTAATTTTACCATCCCTCGTAACTTTTTTTCCAGCTTCTTTTCATTGAAGTATATTATATAGATAAATTTAAAGGGTATCCAGAAAAGAACTTTAGTGAAGTTTCATTGAAATCGGTACATTCGTTTAGGCACTACAGTCTATAGCAACGCAGGTTTTTCTGCATTTTTTTTTCTCCTTTATTAACTTATCAAATTCTTTCAAAAGTTATATGTAGCATTTTTTCGTATCTTTGAATAATGTGAAATGATTAACTTTTTAAAATAAACAATATTGAAGGTACTTTAGAGGAAGATATATAGCTAGTTTTTATATATAGCTCACAACTTAAATACTTATTATCACATTAGACTTTCTTTTTTTCAACATAAACACAGAGTCTACTGGTAAGAAGAATGTAATGTATTTTTTATTTTTTCTAAAAGTGTACATTTATATTTTACCATTGTACAAAGCTTTCTAAGTGTCTTGGCAAGGTTTCAAGAGTATTGTATATAGAGTTTTTTATTTTATTTTGTATAAAATAAAGTTATTTGTCCCAGAATAAAGTTATTTTTCTATTTCTATAACTAATAGCATGTATAACTAATATTTTCTTTACTGATTTATCTTTATCTTTACTTTTTATGTTTGTTTTTATTTGGCCAGATATAACATTTTAATTTTTTACTTTTTTGTTATTCTGAAGGGACTTCGTCCCAGAATAAAATTATTTTCTATTCTATATAAAGTGCCACTTCTGTTTAGCCGATTTTGACGAACAAGTTGCTGTAACGTCCCTGGCATATAAAAACTTTAAATATACAATTTCACTTTCGTAACGAATTTTCGTTTTTGAGCTGGACTTTGAATACACACACAGACCTCACAACGTTTGCAAACTGAGATTCGAAAATTTTCACGATCGCTATACTTTCCTTTACAATATATTTCATATATAGGTAAGTAAAAGTAATGAATTAATGGATGATTAAACTAACCCTGATTTTGATGAGCTCACCAGACCAGCAGGAAGTGAGCACTTGAAGGAACACCACCACCAGTGCCCCAGAGAACGCCACTGTGTCGTTGATCAAGTCGTTGCTCTGCAATGTTATTAAGTTATTATATAATTAATAATATTATATATATATATATATATATATATATTATATGATATAATCAACTTCTTACATTGGAGAAGATGTAGAGGCAGACCAACAGCACCGCCATGGAATTCACTCCTTGGTAGATGAAGACCTCATTCAGGAACTGCGACAAGGATTTCGTCAATCTGGATGGAAAGAAGTATAAATGTCTTTTCCGTATCCCTGTAATTTTCGGGATTTCCAAAACCGTTATGTTGCGAGAACTGTACAAGGTTCTTGTGTACAAAACTTTAATAATTAACGCTGCAGATTATTACAATGGTGTATTATTCCCAAATACTTTTAATCAAATATGTGTACCACGTCACTCTATGCACTTTCGTTACTACTTCTTAATTTTTTTTTTTTATTTCTTAATGACACTTACAACTGTATTATATAAATACATCAAGTAAATTTGGACATAATAGATATAATGACATGAATACACTTGCTGAGTAACTACCCAATGGTAGCACTCTAATGATATGACTACATTAGGAGGCCATCTTCTTTTCAGACGCCTCGGAGGGTTATCAGGAATTGAAGGGGAAGCAAGGTTAGAAACTAGAGAGTTGGGATGATTCTGAAGTTTATTATGGAAGAATAGGTATCTGGATTGGGTTTGGGCATTGTTTACTGACAGGATACATGTGTCATCGGCATATGTGGTGGTGGTGATGGGTGAAGATAATTTGATGGGATTTATTTTTATTCTCCAGTTATGGCACCATTCTTCAAGGTTTGTGATGTGTTATTGAAGGGTTTGGGATGCAATTGCTGGGTCGTTATTAACTGATACGATACATGTGTCATCAGCATAGGTGGTGATGACAGTGTTGGGACAGGTAGGGATGTCGGCTGTATAAGCTGTATAGAGGATAGGACCTAGGATACTACCTTGAGGAACACCAGCGGACTGGGAAAAAAAAGGATGAATAGGCGTTATTGTGATTTACTTTAAAGTATCTATCAGTAAGGTAGGAACGGATAATGAGGAAGTATGTAGGTGATAGGAATTTTCAGAGTTTGTACAGCAGTCCCGGGTGCCAAACCCTATCAAACGCCTGTTCAACGTCGAGAAAGACTCCCGTACAGTACATTCCGCGCTCCAATGCAGAGGATACTACGTCTACCACACGATGACATTGCTGTATAGTGGAATGGGAAGTTCGGAAACCAAATTGGTGATCTGGGATTATGTGTTTAGAATTTAGGATAGGGTACAGGCGTTTTAAGATGATTTTTTCTAGGATTTTGATGGGTAAAAGAGAGATAGGACGGTAAGAGGATGGGTATTCTGGTGTTTTTTTGGGTTTGTGGATCATTTTAACAATAGATCGTTTCCAAGGATCAGGAAAATATGTGGAACGGAGTACAGCTTTATATATGTAAGTAAGGAATAGGATGGCTTTTCGAGGAAGAAGTTTTAGGATCTGGGATGTAATTAGGTCATGTCCAGGAGCTTTACGAGAGGGTAATTTTTGAATGATGTTGGATATTTCTATGGGATGAAATGCTTTGGGTGGCAGAGACATTTGGAGAGGAATATCCAGTTCTGCTTCAATACAATTGATGTGAGTTGAATTAAGGATATCGGGATGTGGGTTAAAAGTTTGTTAGAGATATTGACCAAATAGTTGGGCTTTTTCTTCGTCGGATTTGGACCAGGTTTGGGAATAAGTAAGTAGTGGGTGATTAAAGTCTTGAAACTTAAAAAAATTTTTAGTGGTCATCCATAATGATTTTCAGTGGTTGTAAGTTTTTCAGTAAAATTTAGTAAATTTTGAATTTTTTTTTTCTAATTTCTGATTTCAGTTTGTTAGTCAGTTGGGTGTAATGCGATTTATCTGTTGGGTATCTAGTCCTATGCCACTTCGATCTTGCTCTGCGTTTTTCCTTTAATAAGATACGAATATGCTGTGGCAAGTTAGTATTTTGTGGGAAGTTAATCTTATTGATAAAGGAAATCTTAAAATTAAGTATACAAAGTGTTTGCTAATATTGGCCTGATAAAAGAAATTATTTTTCTTGTTGAAAAGATGGTTGGGAATTACAGTCGAAGTAAAAATAAATTATATTTATTAATTTTTGCTGACGTTTAGGTCTAAGTTTCATTCCTTCATCAGGCCAAGCAAAGACAATATAGCCAATAAATATTGAGAAAATTGTGGATAGTAATAATATATAGTTAAAAGTGTATAGTACATTAATATGTAGGTAATTAAAGTTAACATCAATAAATCTGTATAAGGGAAAATATATGATGTATAAAATAATTTGGAAATTATAAAGTAACTGTAACAAAGCTGAGATGTCTCAATTAAAAAAAAAAATATTACTTTAGTATTAGATGTTGTTCAATTTAGTCCTAGAGAAGCTGACAAGAACATGTTATGTAAAGTACAGGCAGATCTACGGGGAGGGGGACTTTCGGGCTGAAGGCCCCCCCAAAATGGTAAAATATAACCATGTTTTACAGAAAAAAAGGTTAAAAATTATCTCTTAAAGTATTCTTGTTCCTGTAATTACATTTAATAGAACTTCATGAACCACTTAAACACCATTTCATATAGGTGGTTAATTTCTTTTTTTTTTTTTCAAATTAATTATCGTTATATATATATATATATATATATATATATATATATATATATGAAAAAAAAATCTTTCGGGCTGCAGCCCTCCCCACAAATTAAATCCTGGATCCGCTAGTAATGTAGAGGAACATGTACGCGAAAATGGAGAGATCCACGTCGGAATCCTTGGATACGCAGATGATATAGCTGTCTTTGGAAGTAATCAAGAGGCCATAGAGAAATTCGTTTAGACTCTGATAAGAGAAGCAGAGCAAAACGCCAACAAATAATTGAAGATATAACAAAATATATGGTGTATAGATAGAATCAACAAAGATGCAATAGAGCTGCGTGCAGATAAATGGAAAGAAATAGTCCAAGACAGGCAGAGATAGAGCAGGCTTGTTAAGGTAGCAAAAGATTTAGAAGGTCAGTAATACCAACAGAAAAAAAAAAGTATCTTACATTTAAATCAACCAATTTAGGCGGTTACACGGCGCTGAATTGCGTGAACTGCACCCGGTTAATATAATTGAAGTAATTACATTGCCGGGAATAAAATGGGCCTGTATGATTGTTGAGCTTAGTGACGAAAGGGGGTTTGCGATAAGGCTGATCTGGTGAAACTGGGTTCCGACGGCGAACGGTGGAGGGAGGTGTGTATAAACCGATTGGTGGTTTGGGCATCGAACCTAAGCCTTTTATTATTATTATTTTCTTGCAATTAAAAGCTAGAGCAATTATAGCTTTATGCTTAAATTCTGAAATTATGCACATTTTAGATATTACACAGTTCTTAATATTGGTTTATTATTTTCAATGGTGAACCATTGTTTACGAACAAACAGTTCAAAAACTTAACCCCCTCTCAAAACTTGAGGTTTTACGTTTCAGAATCCGTAGCATTCGAAAAAGAAATAAATTTTTTTTTTATCCGCCGTAGGCCGTATGCCGACCCCCCAATTTCTCCGATACTACGGACCGATTTTTTCAAATTTGGATTTACAATTAGAGGTCACTCAATGATGATCCACCTTCATCGACATTTCTATCCGCCTTTTCCTTTCAAAATGGCGACCGAAAAACCTGCGTTCCTGTAGACTGTAGCGCCTAAACGAATGGACCGATTTCAATGAAACTTCGCTTAAGTCTTCTACTCGATGCCCTTTAAATGTATCTATATAACATACTTCAACGAAAAGAAGCTGGAAAAAAAGTTACAAGGGATGGTAAAATTAGATTCCGAAAAACTAAAAAATTATACACATTTATGTCGATATGGTTATTTAAAAGTTTACGGAATTTCATAAAAAACAAAAACAAAAAAAATCTTAAAATCCGACAATTAGGAGCAAAGATATGGTCTCTAGATGGTTTTTATATGTTCTACAGCAAAGTTTTGTTTTGGTTTTTGATTTTTGAATGTGTTACTGAAGTAATGCTAATTTTTTTTAGCAAATTACTAATGATTAAAAAAAATGTTTAGTCCAATAAATGGAATCACCTTTTATTATTTTTTCTTTTTCACTAGGAAGATAATTTTACTTTAGATGTATAATTGTTTGAAAATAATATACTATTGTGAAATAATTTGGAGCGCTTTTATATATTAAATCCATATTATATATGGCAATGTATACATGTATATGTCAGTTTATATATATATATTCATTTATAAACATATGTATGTCAATACGTATTACCTATGAATATGGTATTCCGTCTGAATAAAATAACCTAAAAATAAATAAATAAAAGAAAACATACATACTTATATATATAGTATTTAAAATCTGACGAGAGAACTGCGAGCCAGACTTGTCCCTCCAACTGTGGAGGGAAAAGCATGACGCCAGGAGATCCCTGCACTTATCTCCCAACCGCGTCACTGGGGCTAAACCTAGTGGAGGTTAAGCAAAAATGTTTTAGCCACATACACTCATGTCGTGAGTGGAAAATACTTGTTCTTTTGGAAAATACTTGTTAAAAACTGATCGTGTGCCTGCATCTCCTGATTACTGATTACAATTGAAACGTTTTGGACAAGGAATAAGTGCGTAACGTGCGAAAATAACACCACGCGGTGCCCCACGTGGTTGGAATCGCCGCTTTTATCGAAATATTAGTATTGATAAACTTGATAGAGGTGTTTCGGGATTGTAGTGGTGTGTTGAACAATAACGAACGCCTCCTCTATTAATTTGGACAAATTTAGACTATCAGTTTAAAGGTAAAACTAATAGTTTATGCTGCCACGTGGCCTGTTAGGTTATCCCTTAGTAACTGTAAATATAACTAGCCTAGGTAAAATTGTTAATACTGTAAATATTGTTTTGTACGTCCCTTATATGGATTTTATATTGATATAGATTTTATAGTTATACGTCTTTTATATTGATTTTATATAAGATTTTATTTAATATAGATTTTATAGTTATACGTCCTTTATATTTTTATTTTTATTAGATTTTTTATATAAGATTTTATATACATTCTTTATATTGATATTTTTATTTATGTACTTTATATTGATGTTTTATCCTTCATACTGATTTTTATCTTTTATA